GGAATCGTACCTTAACGAAAATATCATTTTGACTGCTCTCGAATCCATTTGAACGATGTTTTGCCTGACATCTGTACGTACAAACAGAATAAAATATTTTTTTTTCAAGACCGATTGTAAACTGGACCGAAAATGGATTCAAAAGTGATTTTTTCGTCACGTCTGTAGGTACGTAAGTATTTATCTCAAATAACTCAACGAGTATCTGTATAGCGTAGAAATTTTGCATATGGGATTGCTGTAATAGTCACGCACTCCCTTTTTCATTGCAATCAGCCGAATCAAGTATATATATATATAAAGTATTCCCACTCTGTTACCGAGCTCGGTGAGCTCAGTGCTTTTCCTTCTTATATGTTGGAAAATTGCCCAATTTTTCCAAAAAAAGTGACTGAATTATGTTATTCTTATGTTCCGGTTAAGGTTTTTATGCCTTTAGTTAATCGGAATGCAATAGTTGTAGAATTATCAACAGTTTAAAACTTTAAGTGGCGCTGAGGGCGACGAGACCACAATATACTTACATTTGAAACTCATAGTAAAATAATGAATTAAGTCAGTTGGTTCACCAAATTCAGTATCTTCTTGTGCCCAGTGGGAGCAAAAAATAACTTCAGTTTTGTGCACCGAAAATGTTGTCTTCCTGCCTGCTGGCTGTATAGCTTGTGTTTGCGTACAAACTCTAATTTTAATTGCCAAAAATTTTTTTTAACTGTTTTTAACTGCATTTTGAGTTTTAGGTTTTCTTGTATTTTACCATTTTTAATGAAAGTGTTTTGAATTTTTATGTATTTTTGTCTTGCTGCGAAGTGAGGACTGAATTAATTGAATTAGAAATATATCTCTGATGAAATTCGGGGAATAAATTTAAATGAAGTGCAGCAAACTACGAGTATTTGTATAGTTTAATAGGCCATGCAAGGAAATCATGTGGTGACCACATGAGATTTTTTTGAAATTTCAATATTTTGATTCTTCCGATTAATGAACATTCACAAAATTCACGTTCCTATGAATCTTCATTATTGGAAGCATTGTCATTTTTATGTTGCTTCTTTTCCAGCATTGCTCCCACCATTGTCAATTGTTATGTTAGATCTTTTCTTCTGCAACAATCTTTTTTTTTTTTTTCTTTTCTTTTTTCTTTCAATCGAATATTCTATGCTCTTATTGTATTATCAGAAACGGCAATGACCCCCAAAATCCTTAATTGGAGGTTTAAGCATGTTTTTTAAAAATTAAATGTCTGAAAACTAATTAAATAGCTTGAAATTTAATTGATCTTGCTTCTAATTGCAACAAAAATGAATTAAAATAACAAATTATGAACAAGAAATTCGGAAATTATCGACGACAAGTTAATGTAAACTTCAAGGACATTGGTTAGCCGAAAGTGAAAATAAATTTATTTCTTCAGTAGTGATGTAAGAAATTAACATAAATAAAGATTTGAAAAATGAATAAAGGTATAATTAAGTAGTTAGAAATACAAGTGATTGAATTCAAAGGCAAGTATAAAAGAGGTATTTAAAAAGCAATCGAATAGTGGGGATTAAAATTCCATTTGAATTTCCAAAAGTTTAAACTTCGTTTCATATATCATTTTATTAAGTAATTCGAAACCGTATTTTTAAATTTGCTTAACTGAATACGAATGCCTAAAAAGTAATAGCTTGCCAGGGTAATTTCATTAAGCAAAATAGAGTCTTAAAATTTCACTTGAAAGAATATTAGACTTATTTCTGATAGAAAGAGACTCAGAAATCGTCTATCATTATCACTGCTAGTGTCTTCATCACGTATGTAAATTTCTTCTTTTACCAAAAGTTATTAAAAAATGTCGAAGTTTCTCATGTCTTTAAAACGTATATTTGTAGAAAATGATGCAAATGTTTATTCTCCCTGTCTGCGGGCTATCGAATGTCTAATTTATTTTCGTAAATTAGAAACATCAAATACTTATGCCTCTCCCTCAACAGATTGCATTTTATATTATTTCTCCCAATTTTTATGCTTAGATTTCTGACCGCTTTTTATAGGCTACAAAGGAAGTTATGAGATTTCAATTTCTAGTTCGTCTAACCTTTTTCTTCACTGAGATTTAGGTCAATTTTGATGTTACTTCTTTTCTTTTGCAACAGTTTATTTTTTGTTCCTTCGCCTTATGTGAATATGATTTACATTCATTTCAATCGAACGCCTTTTTTAATGTTCTAATTGTATTATTAAAAAAGACAATGACCCCAAAATTCTTAATTCGAGGTTCCTATAAGCATGCCTGAATAAAATAAATGCCTGAAAACAAACCTAATAGTTTGAAACTTAATTAATCTTGCTTGTATGCAAATAAGAAATTTCTGTAATTTAATATCTATAGCGAGTATTCTTACGACATCGTCTTTTACATGTTTGTGAAAATAAATGTCTCATTAAACCAAAAAATCAAAAAAAGGGAAAGAAAGCAAGAAAAGCGCCAAAAGACCATCTTTAAGAACCTTGAGGTCAAGAACAAAGAGCAGATATTTCAAACCCGCTCTAGTAACATGAAAGAAAAAGATACCTAAATATCCTTCAAGTTCAAGAAAAATACCCTATCTCCTTATAACTTAAACTAGAGTCACTTTTAAAAGTTCGCTTTTATCTGAATTTTAAAAATAACTTAATAATTAAATATTACCTTTGCAAAGAATAAATGCATTTATGTTTTACATCTGACAGAATAGGAATTCTTCATAATTCCAAGTATTAAAATATGTGATTATTAAAAATGTCAGCTCTTTCTAAACATGGTAAGAAACTTTGTTGAAGAAGAAGAGTGCGTAGAATTAATACATTCACTACTTCTGAAAGAATTTCTTTCACACGTTTCCTCTTTATACGATATCCCCTGCTGCAAAACTTCAAAACTTTCGAATCTATGATCTACTTTTGTAGATTTCCTTTTAAAAACCAGAAATCCATTTCAAACGAGCTAAGCAGTCAACAGCTTTGGAATCAGCATCGGCCTCGTCATATCATTAGTTTAAGATCATAACCAAAGAAACAGAAAATATCGAAGGCATGAGGAATTTTTATAAGAGAAGACGGAAAAAGACTAGAGTTGTACTGGACTACTAACCGTGCCAATACTGTTGTACTTGTTATCATCATGCATAACTAAATTTAGATCCATCATATTTCAGAAAGTAAAATACAAAAGTTTCCGTTATCTTCTTCCGTTGATAAAAAACGTTTGACAGGACTGTCAAACAGACGAATTTTAAATATCCTTATTCAAAAAACAAAACAAAACAGAACAAGAACTGCGATCCAGAAATGCTTGCTTTAAAGAATATAAAATCAAACTTTTGGTTCTAATAAAAATTCAGCCTCCAACAATAATGTTTCTCCATAGCAAACTCGAAGTCATAATATTAATGACTATTTAAGTTATAATTTGAAATATTAAAAGTATTTAATGAAAGTTGAGAAAGACTGCGTCAAAGAATAATCTAATACTAAATTAATGGGAACTGCTTTCACAATTATGCCAATAAATATGATAAAATTTTTACATTCTATATCCCACAGAAATAAATTACTAAAAACTACTCTTTCAAAGGAGAAAAAAGGCACTACAATTATAAATTACACAGCGAAAAAAAAAAAAGAAAATCTGAGAGGTTTCAGATTTTAAATTACGTCCAAAGGGGCGTTTTTTTAGCATTTTGTCTGTTACTTTTATTTATTAACTATCATGTTCTTCGCACTTAAACCATAAAATTCAGTTCAAGAGCAATATTGCAAAATAATTTTAAATTGAGCATATCTTTAGAATTTCGACACACAGTCTCGCGCGGTGGAGATAAAAATGTTTTTTCCGCACAACGTTGCCATGGCTCGTTTTGAAATGGTTGAGTTTGTTAATCAAAAATTCGCTAAAGTTTTACGAAATATGAAATTGATCATAAAACAAATTCCAAATTTCAAATTTGGCCTTCCAGTTGCCCATATTCGGTGGAAGATTACAGTATTCAAAACTGGATGGCTCTAGGTACCGTTGTTTTATCACAATGCGAGAAACATACATACATTCATGTAAATATAATATTCGGTGGCAACAGCTTGAAAAGTGAAACGGACATTCAGTGTGATTGAACGCAAAATCGCAAAACGAAACAGTAGTCCCTCAGAAGCAAAAGTCCCTTTGGACTAAAAATAATAATAAATTAATTAATTACATTGTGAAAGAAAATTTGGAATAGGTAGAAAAGATTTACATAACATTGAAAATGTTCCATAGTTTCCGTTTTAAGATATGGCAATTCCTATGGCTGTGTTCATAGAAATAAATTCATGAGAGCATTGTTTTAAAAAATATATTTTTCAAATTGAAGCTAAATTCCATTTGAATAATATAAACTAATATTATACTATTTGAATAATATATAATTGGATCTAAGTTCCATATGGCTACAGATATTTTGCATTTGAATAAGTTAGTAAGGTTTCGAAAAATATATAAGGAAATGTCCTTGGGATTTTGAAATTTTGGTTACATAAAACATTTCAAAGTGCTCTAAAAAATTTCTGGAAAGTAATCTCCGCTTAATATCATATTGTGTTCTGAATGAACGTGGATTTCGGTGAAATTATTAAAATATTTATTAATTAGAGTAACTTTCAGAGCGTTTTAAAGAAATAAATTACTAAATTATTTTTACAAAAAAAAAGAAAAAAGAAAAAAAAAAAAAAAAAGGAAAACAAATAAACAGCGCTTTATAGTCAACTGACTACTTTATAATCCGCTGCGCTTTAAACAATAATGAGGTCACACGAAAACGAAACTTTGTACCTCGGAGTTCATTGTGATTCGTCTGTAAAATCCGGCGTTGCCGTTTTTCTAGGAAACTCTTCCTATGAATTCTGAAGATATGAGGAAAAAAGGTAGCGAAAGCCAGACCTCGAAGGTTTTGATTCGCTAACAGATGCGCGATATACTTTGTGACGTCCCAAGTCGAAGGTGCGTAAACTTGCGCGTCTTCTAGCGGCTGTCGGCACAAACAGCCAGGTATTAAGGTTCGGCGAACGCATGTAAAACTGTGTGTGAGATAAACTCTTCTTTGAAAAAATGGATGCGGATAAAATAGGTGGCACAGAATTATACTGGGAAGATGCTGTTGTCATAGCGGTATATTTTGCAATGATATTAGCAGTTGGAGCATGGGTAAGAACGTCATTCATTAATCTGGATTTTGATTATTTATTCTGTTTCATTCAATATGTTTAAAGAAAATAGCCGTACTGCACTTTTATTACTTCTTGTGTTTTCTCCATATATCTGTCCCTATTAATTTTTTAATGTCCCTATTAAGTATTATATTATCAAAAATTAACCGCATATAATAACTAAATGCGTTTGAAACTTCATTTGTCAAAATTTCTCAAAATATACTGAGGAGTTGTGCTCATTTTCTTGAAAACAAAATAGGCCTTGACACTAATATTCCGAAAGAAATTCGGACACTGATGACTGACCCGACTATTTTAATTATTAAAATATGATTACTTAAATATGTTATTAATAAAAAATAATAATACTTTAAAACATCTTCTGTAATATATCCAAACTATTATGCGAATTTTTTACATAAGGAAGTCATGATGTTCGATGACATACAAAATAAATAAATAAAATAAAACAGACTGAACTGTAGCATCATTTAATGATTTAACAAATATAAAATAAAGATTCTTTCTTACAATAAATGAGCAGTTTACTAAAATTTTTATTTGATGCGTTAAATTTTGATAAATAGCGAGACTGTTGAAAACAGTGGTATTAAGTTACATTTTATAAGCAGAAATAAAGAACTAAAGATTCTTGTATGTGCTTTTGTTGCTATGAAAATTTTATTTTTCAAAATATCGTTATTACACGGTAGTTTTGTACCTACGGACACCCAAAATTCGGAAAACCAAAATTAAATTAATAGTTTAAGTATGTACTATGCTTAAATGTATACCATGTTTTAATTAATATTATATTTTAATTTATACTATATCTTAGTATTATATTATCCTTTATTTTACATCCGTCAGAAGTAAATGAAATATCACTTCTTGACTATTATTTACTTAGTTTTACTAATATCAATACTTTACAGAATTCTATAATATCCTTGTGTTTTTAATTTTATATTAAAGCTGACTGTAAACTGCCAGATTTTCCTTAATGTTTCCCGTTTTTGTGTTAAGTATTTATTGTTTCGTGCATTCATATTTTGGACTTTGTAATTAAATAAATATAATTTAATAATGACTGAAAATTTTACGAGCAGAATTTTTTAAAACTTTGAAGAACATAAGAAAGAGAGAAAAAATTCAGACATCTTTTTGTGTGTGTGTGTGATGTAGCTAAGAAATTTAATACTATATAAACCAGTCATAGACAAAATAAAATTCCACTGCTTTGAAACTTTTTATTTATGAACAGGATTATTGTAAACAGGTTTTGCTAATAGAAATATACTGGTCAGTTCTAGTTCCAATAGCGCAAAGGTTTGTCAAGCTTCTTTCAGACAACGGAAAACAGACAATAACTAATATTATAAATGCGAATGTGAGTTTGTTTGTTACGATTTCACTCCTTAATTAGTACTTAACCTATCATCATGAAATTTTCAAGGAATATTTTTGATATATTAGAAAAGGTTATAGGCTATAAAATGTATTCGTACGATTTAGCCGAGATATTATACTCTGGAAGGTACATCAGAAGTAACACAAGCTGATGGAAGCATGTATAAACAATCATGAATTTCATGATTATCATGAAAGAAATCGTTTCTTTTTTAAAAGGATCAAGGATAAACATTAGATATTTTTTATGGAATTACACCCCTGGAACACATTAAAATCATTACATATATATTATGTTTTATAATAACAATTTTAGGAAATTGACCGCCCAAGCGACTTGGCTTGTAAAAACGATAAGAACAAGATATTATCCTTGAAGCTAAAAACATAATTTATCCGAATTAGCCGAGATTTTAATTAAAAACTACGTTTCCCCTACATTTTTCACTTAATTTGTTGGGTTTTTCCCTATTAAAGTGATTTGGCTACGCACCAATTAATTTTTTCGCAAATATCTATGGAACGGCGGTTAGTTGAATTTCGAGACACATAATCCCTGATTCCAAAAATTTGTCGGAATCCATCGATACCATTCTCATTTTTGTACGACTTTAATCAGCTGAAATATTAATTAAAAACTCTGAAAACGCTAATTTGAATGATACTCAATAGCGACATTAGGGATTTTTTCTTAGGTCTTCCCGTCTGGGTCCAATAAATTGATGATAAAAATTATAACTTTTGATCTAATTATCCAAAGTTCTCGAAATTTAGAAACTTGTATTGCACTCTGAAAGATAGGAACATTGGTGGTAAAACTGTTTTTGTCGCTTAATTATTTCGAGCTTAATCGCAGATGAAAAAATACTCTGCTTGCTATTGTTAACGCTTTGTTGACAGGCTGCGATTCGAAAGCGACATAAAGGGGGTAGCTGCTATCCGTTCGAACTTTGAAAAGGTCAAAGTAACGGATTTACTCGCGGAAAATGATTTAAAAATTAACAACTTGATTTCTAATTAGCTTACTTGAAACTATTATCAACATTTCGACTTTGGTGATACATTTAATGTTTTGTTTCGCATTTTTTAAAGATATATGCATTCGTTTTATGTCTTTAAGTCATTGTTGCTTGAAAAATTGCATTTATAGTTTATATTTTTTACATTTTACTGTGTGCGATAACAACTATTGTTTTATCATTTTAAGGCGCTCGAATGTTCTTTATTTTTAAAAATAACCCTTTGGTCAGGCGTAAATATGAAATATTCGCGGCCTATAAGTATTGAAGAAGGGCAGTATTTACTGAAATCATCCGCGGACTGTATTTTTAAAATTCATGCGGAGTTGAAACTTATTTAAGGACATCAATGCGAGCGAAGCCGCGGGTAAAGCCAGTATGTTTATGAAATTTCTCCTTTTCATCATTTATTTTGAAAGTAAAATATTTTTGCAAACATTTACGAGAAAAACATAAATATATTCTTCAAATATTTATTTATGTAGTTCTGACAATCATATTAGCACCTTAGAAAGCATGAACAATGTCATAAAATAAATGCTGAGAACAAGTATGAAATTATTGCACTACATGTGTTTGGAACCCAAGTAATTAAACATAATCTCACATGAAAACAATAAAAATTACGAATTTTTTTCTATCGCTCTTGAATGAACTTCCATAATAATAATAATATGAACTTTATTGCTTTGCCTGCCTGAATTAACTTGGGTTTTTATCCTTAAAGATATAACTAAATACTAAATTACGCCATTGGTTGAAGAAACAATTTTACTCTTCTGTATTTATATTTTTATTAATAATATGTACTTTATTTTATTAATTTTGTTGTTTTGAGCTTCAACAATAATATCTTGATTTTATCTTTTTTACAAGACAAGACACTTAGGCGGTCAATTTCCTAAAATTGTTATTATAAAACATAATATATATGTTTTGATTTTAACGTGTTCCAGGGGTGTAATTCCATAAAAAATATCTAATGCTTATCCTTGATCCTATTAAAAACGAAATGATTTCTTTCATGATAATCATGAAATTCATAATTGGTTATCACATGCTTCCATCAGCTTGTGTTACTTCTGATGTATCTTCCAGAGTATATCACTATATTTCCTTCGGGTCTGACTTGTTGGGATTTTTCCTTCAGACTTCTCTTGGTCAGCATGAGAAAATTTTTGTCTGCATTTGAATCAGTCTTTCTATCTATTTCTCCTATTTTCGGAATTTTGGAATGTTCTTGATATATTCGGGATATGTCCTATAAACTGCTCACATGGGTCCTTGACAGTAAAGACAAGTAGATTGTCTTCTTTCTTCGAAAGGCATTCAGCACTTCAAAGGTTTAAACTACATTTCGCGCATCTTGTAACACTGGAGGACAGATGCTCTGTGTAACCAAACCTCTAGCTTCATAGCTCAATTTTCTTCGGTTTGAATTAATTCGGCCTTACATTAATACCTAGAATGCTGTTTACCTTATAGATGGCTTTTCCTGCTTCATGTTTCTCAAGTTCAAGTAGATATATTAGCAGTTTTTAATAATATATCATTTCCTTCGGAAACTGTTTTACCCGTATGATGGAGAAGTGTCTAGCTGCAAGGTCATCTTTGATGACTTCTTCAGAATCGTCTTCGGAATTCTGTTAATAATAGCTTTTATAGATTTTTTGCTTTTATTCTGATATGAATGAAAAGAAATGCTTCTTTTCTGCAGACTTTGCTCCGCTAGGGATCGGTCTGTCTAACTTCGCGTAGATGAAAAAAGAAGTTTTCTTCTCCTCTGCTTCAACCTGATGTATCTCGCACTAGTCAAAGTCACTGATTACAAATACAGAAAGTTTTTCTTTCACTACACCTAGCTCATCATTTGTTTGGTTTTCATTTTGTTCTCGGCACATTACTTGGTGAAGATTTATTTCAATCGTCTCCGCAGAGACATTTTTTGCGTCTTATGCGAGCTACACGTATGTAGCATCAGCCTTAACAGTGTTTTGTTGTACACATTCTGGCATAAACGCAAGAGCGCTGACTGCTGTTTCAGTATATGCTATATTCTTCGTCCGTGTATTTAAACTCTGGTACTGTTCTAGGAATTAGTGAATCGTTGCTTTAACCTTCTTATTAACTTTCTGTGAAGAATTCGTTCGCTTTCCCTTTCTCTTCTTCCTTTTCGTAGCTATTTCTGTCTTTGGTTGTTTTACAAAATCTTCTTTCAACTTCCTGAGATTTTGTCTTAAGAATTGTCTTAAGACTCTTCCGACATTTCGTCATTATCGTTTTGCTCTCCGAATACAGCCATCGTTCAAAAGCGTTAAGAATTCAACCACAGAAATTCAAAAACTATATAATTCTCACAAAATGCCTCCTTTACCATTTTCGAACGAATTTCTGTATATCTTTAAGCATTTGTATTTAGTTTCATATTTAAAAATACCGTTTTAATTGCGCCAACTAAGAAATAAATGACTAAAAAAATCGACAGATCGCATACTACATCCTTACCACAGTGAGTATGTTAATAAAAAATTCATTAGATTTGCGCAAAATATGAAATAAATAAAAA